CGCGATACGGCCAGCCAGTCGATAGCACATGTGCACACGCACGTGCGCGTGCACAAGCAACGATCTCTCCCCCGCGCAAGTCAGTTTTACGAAGTCGCACGAAAGTGGTATAGATTTTTTTCGCCCCGCACGCGCTCGGTGCCGGTGCGGCGCCCACGCACACGCACAAATACGCGCGCCTTGTCGAGCCGGTGATGGTATTCGCATAGTTAGTACGGAAGAGACGTAATTAAGGGAATGACGAACGCATCGCCCCAATATAGATTCGCGCCGTACTTCCGCCCTACTAAAAGATTTCCGTCCTCCATCTGCGTTCTCATCTTCCCTTCGATTTCTCCCCTTTCTACTCCCGAATTTTGATTTGCAGGCCGTTATTACTTACTCGACGCCGCGTGAATATTAAAAACAGTGAGTTTTACTCGAAACGAGAATCTGAATAATTTCAATGGGTATTATTATACTATACATATTTTAGTTACACTTATTTTTAGTCATAAATTATTGGTTGGAAAGATTAAAGATAATATAGTTGTCTTTTTGTTGAAATAGGCAAGTTTTCATGATGTCATGCGAATGCGCCGGAAAATTAAATTTCAATAATCACGAATTTTTAACAACGAATTAGATAACTTGGTTCTCTTAAACTTTAATATGTGTCTGCTCTAATAAACCTCGTGATTGACATTGTGAATTAGATGCATTTCGGTTTGTCGAGACATTGTAGTCGTGTCGAAGATATAAACTATTTTGTTTGCACATAAGTCTGCCTGCTTGTTTTGAAGGAGAGCCATTTGGCGCTACCGACTCAACTTTAGACAATTAAAGAGAATTAAGGCGCGCCATGCTTTTAACTCTTTCGTTCATTGAACTTGTGGGCGAGAAAGCCGTGCAATTTAAGAATATAAAGTCTTTCGCGGGCTTGACCGACGCAACAGTGCGTGAAAGTGTCGATTCATCGAACACGCAAGGGCGTGCTCTTCCATCGATTTACGCTAACTCGTGCGAAACACATTCTTCGATCAATTTTGTTCAGGATACGTGACGTAACCGACGTAAAAACCGCCGCAACCTGGTAAGCAAAAATTTATGAATGTAATAATTATAAAATATATGTACTTTCACGTGAAGTATTGTGGATAAAAAGATACGGAAAATATTTGCTTCTGGAAAATATCAGCCGTTAAAATAAATAAAATCGAAATAATGCGCCCGTAAATAATTATCCGTAAAATTTTAAATATAATATGTAAATTAAACGGGAAGATATTTTAAAATTGTGACGCCTCCACGAATTCGACATTATTCTACCTCCGAAATTGAATCGAGTTTCAAATATTTGCTAAAGATGTAGGTCCGGATTGCAAATGCTCAGTAAATTTATCTTTAATTCGCGAATTGCACGGAAGCTTATAAATTTACCGAGAGTAAGTACGGCGAAGTAATAAGAAATGCAAATTACAGACAGCTTAGTCATTGTAAGAATTGTAAGGAATACGTGGCAGTTTTCATTGTAACGAGAAGCGACACCGTTTCTGAATTATTACCGAACTTAACTGAAGTATTTTTAGCCAATCGACGATTACATGTCGAGACATATTGCGCGTTCGACGAGACACTGAGTTCGTTAACCTTACACTGATGAAAGCGACCAATTTTTTCCAAAATATTTTTGGCAGCGTGTCATACAATGCAACTTTCTCGAGATTTTGTCACCAAGTCACATTATATTTGTTCGTCTTCTTTATTTAATTTGCGCGAGTCAGAAATACTTTTGCTGTTTTAACTTTAATATTATTATAATAAAACACACAAGAATGTTAAATCTAATGTATTAATCCGGTCTAAAACGCTTTTTACTGCACTACTATCAAAAATTGTCAGCGTTTTAGTTTAGCTTGTTTTAGAAGCGAGTAATTTTTAGAAATATCAGTCACTTGAAGATAAGCAGATAAAAAAATAACTCAATTACGAGAAAAAGACTGACCAATAATTCAATCCAAATTTAAGCATAACTTGAGAGTACCAAAACGGAGTGTATTTAACGCCAAATGTAAGATTCCCAACGCCTTTCAATTCTTGCATTTTCTTTTTATGTTGTCGCTGTCCGTTATTAAAATCCCAATACGTCGTATATTCGAGGGAGTAGATTCGAGATGGAAGGAAGGAGAGAAAAATACGCGCGTATATATACTCTCGATACTTCCGAGACACGGCACTCGAAGCCGACGAAGTCGAGTGTTGGAAGGAACGAGACGCGGCATAGAAGCGCACTTTCGCGCGTATTTTTGGCCGACGATAATCGATAAGCGCCCTGCCCCGAGGATGCCGGGATCCTATTGTCCCATAACGCCAGTGCTTTCGCCCCTGCCAGAGGTGGACGATACTTTTCGCGGGTTGATAGAGCCAACGGCCGGCGAAGGGACGCGCGGCGTATGTATACGTGCGCGAATACATCCGCTGGATTTATGAGCGTTTCGATCTCAGAAGCAAAACGCCGGCCGTCGAAACTGAAGTGACCATACTCTGCGAAGTGATAAATGTCGGAGTGGGTCAGAATTTCTATGATGAGAATAAAGAGAGAGAGAAAAGAAGAAAAAGAAGGAAAGAGAAAATTAATTTAATTTTAGATTTTTTAATTTCAAGAGAGTTTTTCCTCGTTATTTTAGTCTGACAATTTTTACACCCTGTAATTTAGGAAAGAATGGAAAATTACCGGCTATATTTAAAGAATCTTGTGTTTTTATTATGGAGAGGATAATATTAAGATACGCAATGGAAAGTAGCGCAAAAAAATAGTGTTAAATAGAGACGGTTACGCGATACGTTTGACGAAAACTTTCGCGGGTGTTTGTACCATACCGTCCCCGAAATAGCCGAAATCACTTCGCGCACCGTCCTCCGAACGGCGATTGGATTACAAAGCTATTATATATCTTTCGTGCCCGCGGGAAAAAAAAGCCCATCCGATTTTGAAATCGATTTTGTCGCGCCAACGCCTCCGCTACTTCCGAACAAAATTGCAAGTTGGACCAGATGGAAACACGCAGAGACAACGCTCCCAAATCCCGAGAGACGCGTGTCGCAGCTCGTTTATTACACACGATGTTCAGCAATTTGATGCACGCGGTGCCAACATTGTCTTGATAGTCACTCTCTCGGCGATAGAATAAAATTGAAGATTTTTTTGACGCAAATTTTTTGCTCGTATTTCAGTGAGAAATAATATTAACAAACGACGCGGGAAAATAAAATAAGAATTTGACAGGATGTTAAGTTGCTATCGATCAACGCATATCGTCGCGTAAAAATGGATAATCCTCGGTTTTCCTGGCGGCAAACGACACCGAATATAATTGTCACCGTAGCCATCGCCGCTTTTGAATATCGAATATCGATGGGCCGACGTCAAGAATCGCCCGATATACCATATATCAAATTATTCTCCGCGTTTGTCAAACCGCACGGTGGGACATTATCCAAACGATATCACGCCTCATTAAACGTCATTATAATATATATAGAGACGCGCACCAATTTTCAATTTTATATACGCACATATATATTTCTTTATGTTTCTTACATCGCGTATTTATTTCTCGTATTAATGCTAAATCTAAAGAAAAAATAATATAAATTCTGTTTTAATTTGAAGAGATTTCCCTTAAAAAAATTGCTGCCATTCTTGAATAATGTTTTCATTCATTTTTCTCCTCGCGTTGTAAGGTAAGTCTCGTTCGCGAGATCGGCGTTATTGCCAATTTTCATCCACGACCCTTCGCGACACGTCTCGGTCCTGTTTTCGTCGGGAAGATTAATACGTGACGCCTGGATCCATATACGGTTTCACGACGGCGATTCATTGTCGTCGTTATGGAGCAGACCGCGCAGTTTCGTATCCTTCTTCTCTTTTGCCTCTCATGCATCTCCTATCTTCCGCCACAGACCCCCATCTCCGATTTCGCTCGTGACCCGTTCCCGTTTTCCGCGAGCATCCCTCCCGGTTTATGGTTCACGAACACGTCTTCCGCAACCGTGTTCGTCGATCCAACGTTGAGTTGAAGATCCGACGATGCGTACTGGCCGTTATATGGATCATCGATCCGCGGAATTTCTCCGTGCTCGGGTACGGAATCGTCTCTGCTACATTCGCCGAAAGGCAAAAGTGCGCGCCGATTTCATCGGACGGTGATTCAGAAATATTTTCCATCTACGAACTCTCTAATTGGCAGCGGCGAAGGAATGACCGCGTAATGAAGCTTGAATCAAATTCATGAATGATTTCACCAATATCAGCTGATATACCAATGTCAATTGATTTTTGAATCTACTTATGCTGTCTATACGGACTTTATGAGAATGTGTGGAAACTATGGGAAAGTTAAAATTATTCTCGGAAAGAAAATGTCAAAGCAATATAATCTAGGAAGTTATAACGAAGCTAATCAGGCCTTGATATTTAGTTGTTAATAGGTTAATTATATTAATGAATAATATTAATAAACCAGGCTTTGATATTAGTTGTTGGTAGGTTAATGATGTTATCAATGAATATATTATGGAGACAGAAAGGTATACTATATATTGATTAGTGCTTTCAATATAATTGCGTGTCACATGCGATCGCGATGCGCAATCTTATAGCAATAATATATATTTACTGGTATAGTATAATTTAGAAAGAGATGAGGAATCGCTTAAATGGCTAGGGTTCACTGACGTTGGCGAAACCGGAGCAGTTAGGGGCCATTTATCAGCTAGTTAACGACGAATTCCTAATCATTTGATTGAAGCGGGAGAGATCTTAATTGGTCATCGAGGGCCGGTCGTTTAAACGCGAGCCGCGCGTGACCACGTGCGTGGACGAATCTAAAGATAATGAGCGCAATCAGAATACGATCGACTTGTTGTACTCGCTGCTCCTGTCTGCGCGATATTTTTACGCGGGCGTGGAGCGTCTTATTCCCGCGAAACTGGCGCATGTCGGCGTACGTCGTGGTATTATGCAAAAACACCAGAGCAACAGATGGCACGCGGAGGTCGAGGAACTTAAGAGCGTTTCACGTGACAGTAGCTCCGGTAATCAGGCCGGTCATGGCAATCGATCGTCTCGCCGAGGTACATACATAATCTTAATCGCACACGAGCGGTTGGTCATCCGGGCGGTCATCCAGGAATGCGCATTGATGTTTATCGCGTCGCCGGACAGAAGGGCCTGCTTCGTTAAGCCACATCGGAATGCCTTAATTGATACGATTCGTAACTTACGGCTTTATTCTCCCCCTCTTCTTCCTTAAAATCGGCTATGTGCGAGATTATTAATGTGTTCAAATTGAGAGCGATGTGTTCCGAGCTGTATTTATTTTTCTTTCTCTCTTCTATATTTATTGGAGCGCTGGGAGATATTAATTATAAGTATACAGGCTCTTCACTCGATCTTTATTTGTGAAAAGCCATCACGCTGGGATAAAGTAATGTATTATACGTGGAAAATCGCAGATACGTTTGTCACGATAGAGGACTCGGTTTCACTTGGGAAAATTGTTTATCCTGAAACTAGCAATCCCATTTACGTAACTATTGATTTATTTAAAACACAGCGTAACGTAGTAGTAATCGAGTATAAAACTCTACATCGCCCCGCTTCAATTATTGCTCCCAGCTGTGTATTTTCTCCATTGGTATATCGATTTGATCTATTTTCGCACTCGGAGCACGCAGCGGATAGAAACGAGGTCGTAGAACCCTAAGTATCCCACCGAGAGTACAGCCATCGTCGTAAGGTCGTCATTATAAACTCCCGAGACCCGGTCACGGGAATTTGCATTAATTATATAGCCTATAAATTACATTCTTCTGAAAATTAGATATTTAGAAAGAAATAAAGAGAGTTCAAAATTAAGGTAGCTAGAAGAAGGACGTGAATAACTTTTTAGGAGAAAATGGGGAAAAAGAAGACAGGAAATTAAGATCCAAAAGACTCCAGAATTATAAGGAAGTCTGAAAATGGGTACAGTTAAATTCATTCCAGAAGCGATGTCGGTCGAGTGAATCGTTTTTTCCTCGGTCGCTTATGACCGGAAAAGACCATGTCGGATGAGCGCGCAGGGGCGGCATAACCGCGGCATTTTACAACGATATTTGCATGTCATAACTATACTCATAGCAATAGCTTCGTGAATCAATCGGCCTGATCGTTCATAATTCTCCGACATTTATCTTCGAACCGGTGGCGTAAACATTTAGGAGTTCTCGTTAAATGACATTTAATTAATGTAAAATGACTCCATTGTCTCGTTTTGCCTTCCACTAATCTGAATAAATGCACTAAATAAGAATATATAGACGTTTTATAAAAAATATAAATGATTTTCAAACAATGGTGAATAAATGCAGCAAATTATATGTTTGATTGTAATGGTGCATATTTTTATTAAATTTGCTGTTGCCTTCGCTATTATTTTTGTTTATCTTTTATCTTAACTTCTTGCGCGGACGTTTGTGTTATCGAGAACGTTAGTTATTTCACTTCGTATGTGTACACCGTACACAAGCATTCGGGGAAATCAGGATGTCGCTGATACGCGAGAGAAGCGGCCCAGACAGGTATGCCCGTTGTATGTACATATATGCACATGTATATATACGTACGTACGGAATCTTATCTGCGGCCGTGGATTATCGAATTTCCGAGCGTTAGATTAGATTTCTCGACGACCACGCGCGCGCTCAGCGCACGGCTACGTTGGTTTCTGAAAATAAACGCGTACGAGGATACCGTCGTCATCGTCGCCAGTGCTCCTCCCGGCTTCGTATATAACGTGTCGCGTCTCCGACGTGCACGTGTACATAGGGCGTATGTATAGTGTATACAGGGTGACCCGAGCATACGCGATCTCCCGAGAAGACGCCTGTTATAATTTATTGAAATTATTTCGACGCGCGAACAGAGGATATCCCGGAGGAGTAAAGAGATCGAATTTTAATGGCAGATTCCCTCTGAATACGAGTCGATCTATCTCAGTACCGAGAATGTCGAAGGGAATCGTCATTCGTAATAATTTTTTTCCAATTTTCAACATTGAATATCCACGCGATTAAATCTCAAGTTAAAATCTTGTGGAAATCTACTGTAGATTAAAGGAGGATCAAATTATCGGTGCCTCGACATTGGTGCTTCGAGAGAAAAATTCAACTTGCGTTTTCGAGGGAGATTAGAAAAGGAACGATAAGCGTCGGGACGGAGGAGCAAAAACACGCGGAAACTCAATTTTATTCGTTATAGGGATAGGACTGGTAAGAACGTACACAGAGATAAGACCGTTCGATTTTCTGCAGTTATGACGTAGACTACTTTTACGAGACGATTGTATTACTAGATGCAAGAGTTTGAAAAAATTAGACTGCGGTCAAACTTTGCATATAAGATTTAATTTTGATGATATTATAACTTTTTATAATAAAAATAAAAAAAATAATTAATTGTGATCGAAAATTTATTGATGTATTTTATTTAAATAGGAGAATTATTATATTATTATATTATATCTAATTGATAAATTTTAATATTTTTTATAATATTACGCTTGATATTTTCATTAGCATGAATAATGTGAGTGTTAAACATTAAATTTAGTTTTATTTTAATAAATTATTCTAATATAAAAAAATAATGAAATTTTTTTAAACTGCTAGTAATATCTTTTATTACTTTATCTCTCTTTTTTTATATCTTCTGTACAATAGAGCAAATGAAAGTTGCTCTAAGTAGGCTAATCTAGGATCTGCTTTATCCTTCTTACCGCAGATGATTAATTCAAATCTACAGAGAACCAATTAATATTAGATCACTTCAGTTATTGATACAAATGACAAACAATATATGATGTAAATTTTATTTATTAGAAACTATAAATTATTTATTAGAAACTTGTTATTATATGTTTATAAAATCAGTCTATCAATGTATTTGAAGTATCAGTATATCAAATCTGGTGGTTATTTCGATGAAGCCGAATTGTAATTCAGATTTGTTGACAAAAATTTGAAACCGATAGTTAAAACGTTAAAAAGAGTGGAAATTTATATCATATTCCATGTTATATCTATATATTATATTCCACATAATTTTTCGTTCGCTTTTACTCGTTTATAATACGTGACTTTTTCTGACACTTTTCCGGAGTATTTATGGAGTATTTATGGATGATTTTTCATTCGCTGTATTCGTACTTCAATTTTAAACAGATGTCGATTAAATTGACAAATGACGTTTTAATAGGCGCCGAACACGTGTTGTAACACAGGACGGATAATATTACATCGTTAAATCAAAACACAAAACAAGCCATTGTGAAAATGTTAATGGATATATTCAATCAATTATAACGTTTTTCTTCAAATTGAAATAAATGTATATTTAATATTATACGTATATTTAATATTTTTAATGATTGGCATATTTTGATTTAAAAAACGGACTGTAAAAATCTTTTCTTATAAAATACGTGAAGATTAGCATCATATCTTGATGTCTGTGTGATTAAAGCGATAGTATTATAGCAAGAGTGATCTTTCGTTTCGGTAATCATCTTATAATACTGCGATACGGTTTGCGTTCATGTTAGATGCTTGTTAGGAATTTCAAAGTAGTTCCCTAGACTATAGTTCACCCACGTTGTGCCAGTTACAGATGTCAAGCCTCGGAGCGTAAACTCCTTTGTTATAGAAACTAGTGCAGCTTTATTGTCGCAGAATACGCGTGTAGCTTTGCTGTAATCAACAGCCAATTTTCGCGCACGCATGCAACTTTCCGTTTACCAAGTTACCTTTAGGTTGTCTAAATTAATGAATCCACTCTATTGTCTATTGTCTTGTAATCTGCAATTCTGATACCGAAGTAACAATTACGGATGTGATGTGAGGACTTAGAGATCTTCGAACTTTACAATTAGAGAAATCCACTCTGAATAATCTATCTCTCAGATGCACAGGATTGTATGTCGCGTAATGTCGCGATTGTAAATCTTCGCTTTTACGTTTACCAATGGTATCCTTTCGAAAATATGGTCGATGTGGCAGAGCAGCTTTGTAACGTTCGCCGGATAGCGATTTGACGTTCGCGCGGAACGGCCGCCGCACAACGTCGAAATGTGCAATGTTCGATCATTCGGGCGAGGAATGGAGCGGCCAGGATGGTTGAATCGGGTCTCGTAGATCCATCGGAATTCGAACCTCGTCATTAATTGGAGGACGACGGACGCCGTCCGGGTTCTCTCAGTTACGTCACTCTGACGAACTGACCCACTTTCTCACGAAGCTCCTTCCGCGCGGTATCCACGCTCGAACTTTCCTGCGTTGTTAAGTCCCACGTGACTAGGCGGACCCGCCGAAATTGATTGTGGCCCAGGCAGCACGTTCATTTGGAGAGAACAACGAGGCCGCCCGTATATTCGTCGACAAGTTTGTATTTAATCAAGTCAAGAGCGACGCCGGACTAAACGAGGTAGCATGCAATCGCTTTTGCAATCCGGAAGTGAACGTTCGCCGGGTGTTCACGTGTATACGCGCTCCGCGAGCTTGTCGCGCTCACCTGCGTTCGGGAATTGTGAAAATGACCCGTGCATGCTGCGAAACTGTTAATCTCCCTCTTTCACTTTTTCTCTCTTTCTCTTCCTCCTCGCATTTACTTAACAAGCAATTCAAAGAAACATAAACGAGAAGCCACCAGCAAAGGCAATTTCGACCGAGCCAAGAGAAATAAACGTTGAATCTCATGTGAGGTGTCTGTCTATCCCAGTTTCCTGACTATATTCCGGGCAACTCCAGACACATTATTACTTAACGCAATCTTGCTTTTTCCTTCGTTACGTCGGCTCCTCCCGCCGCGGTGAAGAATAACTAAAACGAGAGCACGCCCCCGGTGTACACGCACACACGTGTCACTCGATAACTATTTCCGGCCACTTCCGCGAACGCGTTATTCTCGGTACACTTTGTCGCGGCCGCTTTCTGCCAAATAGGTCGCTGGGCCGAAAAGGCTATTTACTTCGATCCCTCATCGAGGACATTTATTAATAGGTTTCGCAAAAGCCCAATTTCTTTGTGAGACACTTTCTTTTGTTCTTCGTGATCTTTCTTTCGGAAAAGTTTTCGGGATAAATTGTATATTTATGTTGTGCCGAATGATATTATTTTGGCTAATTATTATCGGTGAACTTAGTTCACGGAGGACATTTTCAAAAATTCGAAATTTGACAGGATCTTAACTTGAAACATAATCACTAATAATCAGTAATAATAATAAAATCGTCAAATGTCTGGTGATCAATTGAATTTAGACCAACGCATAATTATCTTGATTTTTATAACATCAATCTGTTTATCGAGTATATCTCGACGAACTCAGGAAATATTTTTATAATTTTTAAACGGTCTAGATCGCGCTGATAGCGGTAGAGACCAGTTGTTGGAGCGTCAATAACGATATTGTCAACATTTATGATTACAGGCGGATCTGTCAGGGGGGAGATTGAACCCGGCTCGAACGAGCTCACACCTGGCAGACGGTCTGGCGGTGGCGGCGGCATCGGAGGCGGAGGCGGCGGTGGCGTCTTGGGGGTTGGCGCCGGCGGCGGCAGCGGCGGGGGTGGCTCGGGAGGCCGCAGCTCCTCCGGCGGTCGTTCGAGGGACGAGCCGAGGAGGCACACTCTCGGCGGCGATCATCAACCCTCCCTTCATCATCAGCAATTCAACGCGGCGCAGCAGCTGCACCCCCTTCATCCGCATCATCTGCCGCCACCACACGGCCAGTACGGCAACCCGCCCTCACGGCACACCACCATGGATCTCGAGGTGAATCTTTGCTCGCGCAACATGTAAATACACACATACTTATTGTTTGCGATGATCTCTCTATCAAATCTCGATTTCTCCCCCGATTTTCGACGTCCCTCGCCTCTCCTATCGACGCTTACCCTCTCTATCACCGCAACATCAGCTAATATTCCCATTCAATTCGAAGTATAGAGAGTCCGCTCTGTCCCTCAAACTATGACAAACAGGGTCCTATAAATGTTTAGCTTTCTTTCCCTTCAATTATGGTACGTATCTTTTATTTCGCGTGATTTCGACGCGAGTTTCCGCTTTCTGTTCTCTATATAATACATATTTTTAACATTTATATTTATAATACATTTCCATATTTTATGGTTCGAATAATTCACTTGTTTGATCAATTTTTATATGTAATGTTAACTCGTATTACTCGTTACACAGATATTATACATTTATATATTTTGTTTCAAGTATTGATTAAGGAAAATCTTTATAATGTGTGTCCGAAAACATTTTGTATCGTATAAGCTAACATTTCTGTCTATCTTTATAATCTTATGTTTATATATTATATCGAAATTTCCTTTAATAGGACTTTTTTCTCTTTTTTTTGTGTCGATGTTTGAAATGACTTTTTTTGATGAGTGACAACATTTTCCTCGTTATATGGAATATATAATTCATGAATATAATAAATAAACCCTTCTTTGAGAAGCACGGAATTAAAAAGAGAATGTTCTTAAATTTGCACTTTAACTTTTACGCCTAGATTGAATAACGAATATTATAATTTTACAACAAATCACAAATTTACATCTACGTAAATCATTTATTATGCTTATGCAATTTAATCTTATTTCATTACAATACGTGATAAATTGGAGAAAATAGTTTGGAATAACATTTCATCGGCATCTACTCCTCTCATATTTCTGACAAATCAGACGTGGCACGTATAAAAATGATCCTTGAATGCATGGAAGTTATCGATGACACTCCAATTTCGCTGGCGTTTCTCTACGTGCCGTTGTAATTCAGGATCGTCCACGTGTGCAATCGAGTGTGCTGCATGAGTGTGTTGCACTTTTACAAGAACAATACACCGGAACGAAAATGAAAACTTTGCTTATTTTGTTTCACGAAGTAAAATCGCCTTTCTTGAATTTTACTCGTAAATAAAATTCTTACCGGCGTATTATTTACGCTCAGGCATTTTGATAATCTCGATAAACACGAGTATACAGTTCCTCCAAGTTCCCCAGGGTAAGGGTAAACGTTCAGTTACCCGAATGTACGTGCGTCGTTCGCGCAACGAGGGAGAAAATCGTTTTCGCATTGACGAGAGACCGTACGGGAATGTGCATTTTTCATTTTGAGAATGTTTCATTCAAGACAACCGCACAGGTCTACTCGATGCATCACTATCGTACCGAGGGGTCACCGTTTATTTATGGCGCACATGAATGCATACACGTTCTGCTCTTCGCTCTCTCGAGTTCCTTTTGCCCCGAATTTTCTTCCCTTCTTTCTTAACCCGTCAGACAAAAGTACGTATATTGTTTGCCTTAGGAGCATCCGTCTTATAAGTTATACAACGTTCGCGTTTTTGCGCGATCAACCGTAAACTGAAGAATGCATCGTAAAACGGGGCAGAATTGATTCCGCTTTTCGCATAACGGAATAAACCGAAATTTTCTTTTAGAGATTTCTACGTGCACGATAATATTTGAAAATGCACGAATATTATTCTTATCGCGTGATATACTACCGTAAATTGCGATTATGCGTAATTAAAGTTTTCATCATTGATAAACGCGAAAACTTATGACGTAATTAAGCTCTTGTGATATTATTGCAAAACTTTCACGAGACACATTATATACCGTAATACTATTAAACTTAATAATAGCTGAAAGATTATCATATACCGTTTGTGTACTGCAATATTATCCTATATTAATTATTGAAGAATATTGTTAGTGAAATAGGATTTGCGCGCAATATGACAAAATTATTTATAAACAATTAGTTAATCATGTTTGCTTGATATAAAATAATTAAAATAAACAGGCCTGGCGAACGAGCAAGGTCTTTGTGCTTAAAATATTATATTATAAATTTAAAACATATACAAACATTTCGGCCCTAAATGTGGCAATCATCAGTGTGAACAACAATTATAACCTTGGTCGTTTAACGGAAATTAAATAATTAATACTGAAGTCTTACATCGATATAGATTAAAAAATTCACAGAAATTATAAACAATTTATATATCTGTTTTGTATGCGGTTAGATATATAAATAGTTTATAATTTCTGTGAATTTTTGAATTTATATCGATATAAGACTTCAGTATATTAATTATTTAATTTTACATTGATGAAGGCCACATTTAGAGCCGAAACGTTTGTATATGTTTTGAATTTATAATATAATATTTTAAGCACAAATACCTTGCTTGTTCGCCAGCCCTGTTTATTAAAATTATTTATATAGTATATATAATAAGTTAATATATATAATATTTAACATATGCGATTCAATACTGCAATAATGCACGTATTTAACAAAAAATAGCGCACACGTTTCGGTACAACCTCTACTTTAATATCAATTAGGTATTGTTATATCGCTTTACGCGATCACAGTTTAAAAACATTTTTTTAAACCATCGCACGTTATTTTGAAGATACGAGCGAAATATTATTGCGATACCCGCAGCTTATTACTTTAGCGGGTACTGCGTGCGTGGTCAAGAACCGCCGGTAATGAGAGGAAGTGGTTAATTAATTATCATCCACCTACGACGTCCTTTCTTGCGTTCGTCGTTTCCGATAATTGAAGGGTACCGACACACCGAACATAAATGTATCTACGTAGCACCGTCCTCTTGACGTCCCAGATTTCTTATTTTCTTGCACTTTAATTACCTGGATGTTTAAATTTGTAACGATAATCGCTTAATAACGAGTAATATTCTGGACTTTGCATTTTTAAAACGTTTGAACACGGGAGTAGCCATTACTAACTATGAATATATTATACCTTTTTTAAAAATAAAATTTGATAAATCGCATGAGTTTAAAATAGTTACATTTAAAGAAACACAAAATAATTTATCTGAATAAAAAATATACACTGTATTTTATTGCTATTCAAAAATAATTTTATCACATCAAAATAACAAAAAGAAATTTAATAAAAATATTAACGTTACTTAAATAAAAATTTATTTTTGCTTCCATAAAATCATTATAAAAAAATGTAATATGTGTAACAGAAAAAATAGGAGGATATTTAATAATATTATTACCGTTTGTAAGTCTCACATTTTATACATGTATAATATTGCAAAGATTTTAAATTATTAATTAACGAAACATATATTTTTTGTTCTCTTTGGATTTGACTATAAAATGTATATTATTTATTTTAAACTAGTTGTATATTATTGTTTATAATATCGTACAAAATTATGAAAAAAACATTTAACGTAAATATACCTGATAATCTATTTATTAAACCAAATTTACAAGTTTATTCACATCGCTGGAGAAAATAATGTACATTTATATCAAGTTGAAAACTTATACACAAGTGTGTGAATATATAAATTTTTGTTTGCTACATATATAAATACAAAAGTATTACTTCAAGCAGCATTAATTGCAACTGGCAATTTAAATAGTATTAAATCTGACACACAATCTTTCGCGTTCGAAAGATCCGGAGATCGCGGGGTACTCGTGTTTTGCGGATGTCGCACGATCGATTAGCTCTCTCCTGTCACGTGATTATTGAGCATCCTCGGGGTGTCTCTGCGGTTTGTAGGGGATAATCGAACTTGGAGTGCAGATGGTGCACAGTCGAGATAGTGGGTGTGAGCGTTACATCATCATGTTCGCCAGCTCTGCCATTAATTGGTGACCCGCTCGGTTCATAGCACGTTCTGTTGCGATACGACGCGCGACGTGGTTACGCGAAAAACAAGATTGTGACCCGAATTACGAAATTACACTGCTCAAAACAATCACGAGATCACGTATTTAGGACCATATTGTTGAATAAACCACGAAGGCAAATTAAAAAAATTTAATTATTGAATTAACTATGTTTATCTGTATCTAGAAAGTAAATATAAGTTTAACAGTTATCTATATCAACTTCAATTAGCAAAAAATTAAATACTAAATAGTATAATTTAATTGCATTGAACCGTTTAAATGTTACAAACGAAAATCTACGACAGACAAATCAATTATTGTTGAGAAGAAAATTTAATTCTAAATATTTCAGGAAAGTCTGTATAATATATAGTATATACCATTATTTTGAGAAAACATATAATTGCATTGCTCGTGAGGTAATTACTTGTCATAAGTGATGTTGTGTATCTAATGTGTCTGTATGTTGGAAACATGAGTCAAAGAACCAGTAATCTCACGTCCGTGATAAAACCAAACAAACTCAGCAATCTCGTTTTTTTCTCTACGCTTATGTACATATGTATAAATATATATACAATACCTCTAGGTATCCCTCTCTGTTTAGCTCATCGCGCACAATGACTCTAACCCTTCGTTATAGTTATGCATTCACGCGTAACGGCTACTCGGTTTTTTCCCTTCTCTCTTTCTCTATCTCTCCTTTTTTTATTTCTTTCGTCTACCTTTTAATCTCTTATCTGAAAGCGTTGCCAACACATCGTTGCAGGTATTTAACACGTGTCCCGTTCTCGAACGTGAGTTGCGTATGTAGATATTGCATATCATAAGCCGACTTCGCAGTCCCCGTTACTTTTTACAACGAACGCGATAATGCAGCTGCATAACAAAAATCAATATGTCGGAAATAAGAAGCACTTCTGCGCAATCAAATTTTTATTTACGTGAAGCCATGTGCATATTTTTGCAAACGCGCATTTTCCGTTAATGTGATATAATTCAAATTTAACTGAGAATATTTATTTTCAAACACAGATGTGCTATTAATTACTTTTATACGTGGCATCTCCTAACGGGAATGGCGAAAATCAGCGTTGTCTTCCAATATATCGAGATATATTGCATTTAAACAGTTTATTCTATTTACATGCTATATTGTATTTAGCAAATATACATATATATTTAACTATACATTTTTCATATTTTGTTAAACACAGAAGGAAATAAAAAAACGAACGAGAAGCACTCCATATTTCCATATTCGGGCTCATAAAAATTTATACTCTCTTGTATTTTTTAACACAAACTACATAATCTCATAAACCTTAGCGGAAGGAAGCAGGATATTGACATTTTAGGATACGACAATTACCGGTTTTACGAAGCATGATGACAGCTGTTTCGCTGAAAATAACGATTCGATTGTCGCGAACGCTTTGGCGTGCGCCTCGAAAACCGAAAAACGGTTCGTGGAACATGTTTCTATTACGAGCAGGAAGCTGCTACCTATGTACCACAGTATTTGCAGCCGCAATTTACGTTCGAGTTACACGACCGACCTGTCAACGAAGAGCAGCTCGACCGCCAGTGATCGGCGCTCTCTTACTCCCCTCTTCGAAACAATTGTTTCCGGTCGATCGTTGTCGATTTTGTCTTTTTTATTTCTTCCTATCTCTCTCTCTTTCTCTCTCTGTCTCTTTCTCTATTTTTTTCCCCTCGTCTTTTTCTACTCCGCAATGTATTACACATCTAACTGGATTTTACTTTGTGTGTGTGTTTCCGTGTTACCTGCCGTGCCGCCGACAGATGGGGACCAAGTCTCGCCAGAGAAAGGTAATTTTTGAATTTTCATGCTTTTCACGCAAGATTGCCTGCGGAATCAATTTTTTTTCCCGTCAAAATGCATGTCGGCATGCTGACACAATTATTTTTCTCTGAGTGGCATCTAAATCCTCGAGCTCACCGTGTGTCTAATTGTTCGCTCGGAAAATTTGTGAATGTATTCACAGGTAATAATAAAATTCTGAGTGATATGAATGAGTTACGTTGTGAAATAGAGCAGAAGGATTCGATCGCCTCTTTAAACGCCTGAGAAAACTCATTTGATATAGGATTAATTATTTAAATATGCTACATTTTTACAGTAATATACATTATACATATATTGTGTGTGTATATATATATATATAGCTCTCGTGTATCTGCAACATTTATTGCGATGTGAAATGTTAATTAAGATTCGTTACAAAATAATTAAGCGCTTTTATGTATAAATCACGCTAAATTTGCAATTTCATATACAATTCACACAAATGCTTACAATTTTATCAGCCACTATCGATTGGCAAATAAATTCGTACGAAGTTAATTAGTGTAAGTCGATAATAAACTAACACTAATTCGCCGTTTTATTAAAATAGAACTAGATACATGCGGGAATGTTATCTCTAAACACATTAAGTGACTCGTTTGATTTCTTCTTCGCCAATGCCACTGATAAGCGATTTGCGATATAAAAAGAAGGTCATAAAATGAATTGAAATCTTATCGAGTTGGCGTACTTTCAGTCGCCTCTTCCGCGTGGCTACCCACCCCCGTCTTCGACGATGCTTTTCGATGACGACCCGGGCATCATGTCCGAGGTGGAGACCTCCAGCACGGGATTTCGTCGAGGGGGCAAGCAAAGAAGCAGCCTGCCCGTCGTACGAACGCCCAGCAAAACTTTGGAGCGACCACTAGGTATTTACAAAATTTATATAGAATCCAAATAAGTAAATAGATTAAACATTATTTTAAAAATCGATAATTAATATTAATTCGTAGATTATATTGATATATTATATACATGTTAATCATATTTTATACTATATTTTCTCTTAATCTTTAAAACTTCGCTGAAAGTAATAGACTTAAATATTGATCATATTTAAATATAATAAAATCTAAGTAGTAGAATATTTTTTAATTGATTTTTTATTTAATGTTAATAGGATAAAGATTAGCTGTTGCATAAAGACGTAAATTAAGTACAATCTGAAAATCTGAGAATTAGTTTTCAGTCACGATTTAGATATTATTTGGTCATCTCTATGTATATATGTTTCAAATGTTGCTTATTGTGCTGACAAATGCATTTTTATATCTTCTAGGATTGGTGTTCCTGCAGTACAGGAACGAGACGAAGAGAGCATTGCTACCGAACGAGATCACCAGTATAGACACCGTCAAGGCTCTTTTCGTCAGAAGCTTTCCGAAACAACTCACTATGGAATACCTGGATAGTCCTCATGTAAAAGTTTACATACATGACAGCAACAAGGACATGTTCTATGAACTCGAAGATCTAAGGTAACACTCTTATGCCACTATGTACGTCTTTTTTAATAAATTCAAATTTTTATTCTTAAGCAGACAAATTATGTTTTAGATAAAGCACTCTGTCGCTAAATATATTTTGCTTTTCAAACAACAACCATTTTTTTGTTGAATTATAACGATCTATTACACAAGTATCATTGCTGTTTTAGAAGCCTTGCATAGAGTCGCTTAGTTCCAATTTATTCAATTTTCATTATGATAATTATTCGTTTTAATAATGACGAATTTGAACAAATAATGATTTATCACTGCGTGATATAAAGGTAATTGTTTTGCTTTTTAGATCGCACCTGAGAGATATCAGGGATCGCAGCGTCTTGAGACTTTTCGAGAGTGCCGACGGAGTGACGGGGATGCCGGGGCCCTTGGGGGTGCCGGGAGGCGGTGGCGGTCTGCCTCCCCATTGGGAAGATCAGAGCTACTTCAGCGAGCCGGAATTCGACAGCGAATATCAGCATCAGCACATTCACAAGAGCAAGGTAAGTGCGCGTTAACGAGACTCCATCCTTAGTTCGTCGTTTTCATCCTCCTTTTTCGGAGACGAGATCGGTTAGATATTTTTCACTCAACTTTTTATGTAACACGAAGTTCGCTGTCACACAATATTACGTTTGAAAGATATTCTTTTCATCTTGTGAAATATACTCGCTCATTAGATATTTACAGGAAGTTATAATAGGATATTCTTTGGTAATTGAATATACGTGGATAATAATATCTTATAAGGAAATACTTCTGAAATATTTAGTTCATTTAGAATGACAGTTTCCTTTGACCAATTTTGCATTTTATATTCGTAGAAGATATATTTCGCGCGTTATATCCGGAGAAATATAAATATAAAGGACGTCGCAAGATATTCTTCATTTGGAAATTAGATCGTAAAGAAAATAATATAACTAGTTTTTTTTTTTTTTTTTAATAAAGCACCGTGTATGTTTATAGAAATGTGACGTATTTTTCGAGATCTATTAATTAGCATTACGCGTGGAATATGAATTGCCAATAATGTTCGATGTGCTGCTTTATACTAGAAAATTTTCAAAGATTAATCAAATAGAATATAATGCAACGGTTTATAAAAGTTTATTCGGCATACTTCACATGTACACAAAATATACACCACTAGAGCTAAGTCGAGCTTTAAGCGACCGAGGCGTACATTGCTGATCGATTAAGGCGGTTTCCGTCGTTATTACATAATTAAGTTTCCCTTCGTCTCGCCGAGGTCAATCGATCAGCACGCACCTTAAAACCACGATGAGTATTCTGTTAAAAGCGATCGTTGTTATTCGTGATCAGTTTCTCGAATTTACAACATAATACTGTCCTATTACGCCAACATTCTTTATTCCGTTAATGAAATTTTTCTTAACTAATTAAACACTATCCTCGTATACATCAGGAATTACCGCGACGTTTATCGCATATCGTTATTACAGACATTTCCGGCCATTTGTAACAATACCGACAAAGATTTTAACCGTTCCGCACAAATAAACATACTAGAATTCTAATATTTAAAAAAAGGTTTTGCCAGACTTTTATAGATTATTGATATGTCTTGCTATCTAACGAGGGTTACGATTATTTCTTACATTCATTACAATTGACCCCGTACTCGCCATCACAATACTCGTGGAAGCTTCAGACTTAATCGTCGTACAGTTAATCGGATAGAAATTGCAAATAAATATGATCGGCAAGATGTTTTGTCAAGCGCAAGTTTTTCCAATGGCAATATTGTTCGCATCTCCGCATGTTCGTAATGTTTACGAAGATACGACAAACAAAAAAGTATTTGGCTGCATCATTGAGAAAAAACGAATCAATGAGCAACGCAGAGAAAAGAAATCGGAAGGGCGCCGGACTCAGCGCAGCGCGAATGACAAACATCTTCGCCCGTAGCAACTAAAGATACTCAGCGATCTAAAACATGGCGTGGGATACCTGGGAACGTTTCGCTCTCGAGAGATCGTCGATCTTTCGTCGACTGGGTATCGAGGGTTCGCGTCGTTATTCGGCACGATCCGGATCTTTCCGGGCGGACGCTCGATAAAATTCCGCGAAAATTCACGCGACGTCGCCGGAATGTTGCTTCGCGCGCGATTCGCCGCGTTATCTCGTCGGTGGTTAAAACGCTTTGCACACCGGTATAGCCGGCAAGTACAACGCGCCGGAATAAAGCTTCTTGGGTACCGATCTCCAGTCTAGGATCAACGCCTTCCCGAACGGTTCCTCGGCGCATCCGTCGCAGATGTCCATCACTTGTCTGACCTCAGCCTCGGCGGGCTCCCGTTCGTCCTCCTCCTCTTCGTTTGCCCCCTTAGTGAGCCCGAAACCCGTTAATCCCGTGAAATAGTCGTCGTCCAAACCTTGAGGACTGGGGTATCCGTCATCAAGAATCGATCCGTCGCCTAACTGCAGCAGTCCTCTCTTCTTCTTCTTTTCAGCCTCGCGTTTTCCCAGCTTTTTGTCATTTACGTCCTCCGTTTTTGCCACGAAAGTTACCTGAGAAATGTGAGATATGTGAAGTGTTACACGCTATCAGTTGAGCAAATAGAAATTTACAGTATGTACAATATACATTCTTTCCTCCGTCCGTTTCGTAAAAGAAAAAGAGCCAGACTTGTTTCTTGAAGTGATTTCTAGCGAAGATTTCTTGGAAGAAATTTAGATGTTTAATTCAAAAGAATTAATCGTTTATGTGAAGCTAAAGTAATATGAAATTAACAAGTTACGAATGTTTCGAACTGAAGTTTACTGTGGAAAGTGCGAAAGTTACTCAGCGTAAAACAGACTCTTCTCGAGGCGATACAATGAAAAATCTCAGGATCCACGTGCAGGCAAGTCAAACGCATTCACTGAGATTCTTTCCACTCTGATTCTTCGTCTTTTAATTTCTTACGTTAAGTAGGTCGGAAACTGCTAGGTCAGAGCTTACAATGTAACGTTCGCTGAAAAAGATTTTCCGCGGATTACTTCAAGAACGAGTACAGATGTGTGTTTAAAGAATTTAATATCATCGAGTTAAAACGAAAAAGAATATTCAGCGAGTTGAAATAATGACGAGAAAATTAAATTATGTTAACATGAAACATGAGATAGATAAAAAAATAGAGATTTTGAAGGATGTTTCGTTTACCCCTAGATGAAAACAGATACCGGCACGCGAAAGACTTAATCTAGACTTAATCGCGCTCACCTTGCCGTCGCCATCAGTTTCTTTCGAAGTTTTCTCGGCGTCCCTCTTCACGACGGATTTTTCGGACTCGGTCAAACTCGACATTACCGTCTCGTTCTTGATGTCTCGTTTCTTCGACTCGCTTCTCTCTCTTTTGAAGAGATTATGATAGGGTCCGTTCGAGAAAATCGACGACGGCCTAGGAGCAACGGGCAATCGATGTAGCGGGGGGAAGGGTGACGTGAAAACATCGAGATTCAAGGGCGGGAGCGGCTGTGGGGGCGATTCCGGGACCGGCGGTAATGCCGGATGACGAATGGTCAGGCCGTTTTGTACGATCTGGATCGACGCCCCCGGATTGATCTTCACCTGGAACATCATTCGCACGCATGAAACATTCATACTCAATTGATCGTGGCGAAGCGTAAGGAGGAACAGTATACATCGAACGCGGAGATCTCAAGCAGGACGCACATGTGTCTAAGAGACATCACGCCAAGACGTATGAAAAATAATCGTGAAAACGTTCAACAGGATTGAACATTTGATTCTAATTTTTCGGATGCCTCTTAGATGCCTTTTAGATTACCCTCTGCGTATTGTTTCTCGGTGATGCTAATCAGAGAACGGAAGGTAATTAGCTTGATGACACGGAAGCACACATGCGAGTGCTCTCGAGTGTAACGAAGTGAGAAAACGTGATTGTACTTGTGTATTGATCTGCCCTCCAGTGAGGAAGGGATGCGGTGGCAAGGGAGGTCCGGTTACAGGCGCTCGCGTGGTGGCCCTCGGCGTGTCATTACTCGTGTCGTGTTCATGACGATGAACGTGATGGTGCTTGTGATCTTTGTGCGCTTTGCCCGCGGTCAGGGCAACGTTGTAGAGCTGCACCATCGTCAGTTCTCCTAAATAGCCACCGGAACCTGAAAGACAGTAAACATTAGCAGACACGTGTCACGATGATAAATTACGATGCCGTTTGTATGATTCAATTAATCTGATATCTTTGAAATAGCAATTTTTATTATCAATAATTGAAACTTGACAATCGTAGTTCTTTCATTTAAAAGTTATTAATATATTAATAATTATATATAATGTAAAAATATATTCTTACCTGGTGGCGCTTCTTCACCCTCCAAGAAACCGCCGCCCAGTTGTCGTTGTTCCTGCCCCGAAATCGCGATTCCGCCGCCTTTGATAACGTGCCCGACTAGCTGAAGTAAGCACGACAATGTAAATTCTCTCTTGCATATTTTATTAACGGAATGTAAAAAATATATCTGCATAATCGCTTTTTTATTCGCCGGACTAAGCGACACGTGAAATTAGTTTGAAAATGCAGTTTGGCCTAATGCCGGCTTAATTGGTCGTTCGAAGAAAACCCGGAAAAAACCAACGCTATAAGCTACCGGGCGCAAATAGAATGAAAGCCCCGGATTGTGTGTCTCCTCTGTGCGCGATATAACGCAGTGGATAGATTGCATGTCCGCAGTCGAGCGGCGTTATATGGAAATTTAAATTGGTTTCTGTCCTTTTTTATTTGAAAGTAACCTTGGTATCCTCGGATGAGAATATCGCGATATGGAATTCTATACCTTTCCATTTCCCGTTTATTCTATTTCGTCGCCATTCTTTCTCGTTTCGTTTCTGTCCGACGCAATCTAAATGCGGGAAGCCGCCGTCTTGACAACTTTCATGTTTTTAGAATGAAAACGTCGAATGCGTCCTTATACTAGGCTTAATTGCGAATCTCGTATTTTGAATCGAGACGACTGCAATTACGCGTGATAATTGCAATAGTTTTATTAACATAATGATAGGTTAATAAAACGCGTTACCGTCCGCCCTTTGCGGTGAATGACTATACTTCTGTTTATCACTGCAATGGCGTGTTAGAAGATACAATTGCACGATATGACGCATTCATAAGACACACGTAAATTCCTATGCATATATATTATACAAACGAAAATGGGGCAACTATGCAAAGTGTTATATCCGAAAACAGACATTTAAGTCGACAAAATTGCGGCGACACACCCGCGAACGTGACTCGTATACGAGAAATAATATATACCGGAAGCACGTTTGCTCGAGAAATTCTTGGTGCATTTAACATAAACGATAATTGAGACAACACAGAATCCTTATGCAACTACGTGATATTACCGTGCGAAGGGCTGTCTTCTCTTACCGTTGAATAGAACATTAAGTACCTCTTTTCTTAAGCTTGCATTTAAAGTGGCGTTTTTACTGAAGAATTCGACTTAAAACCAGCTTTAAAATATGATGCGATATTTAATAAATAGATTTTGAGAATTAATTTGACATTTGTTACATTATATCGATTTAATTTAGAACGATAGTTTTTACTATTTCGTAATATTTACAAGTGACGTTTTTTTAATGCTGCTTAAATTTGAATATATCCCCTTTTCATTGATTTAAAAATAATTCGGCTCACTATATATTTTTGCATAACGGATTAATACGCCGATACGAGTAATTCAAAGATTTGCGGTAAAGCCGCCATTAATTATTAATAATTATTTTAAGGTGCAAGAAAATGCCAATATGTGCAGGATATATTATATTCATCTCTCTTATAATATGTTAAATAGTTTTGTGATGCAAACAAATTGGCTAGTATTTTCGGCGTGTACAACGTATCAGGTTCACGCGGTCACTTTTCGTTCACACCGTGAGATTTATTTGAAAAGTATTGATGTTTCAAACTGATAACAGTTCCGTTGGCCTTGGTGTTTGCGGCACGGCAAACGACGCGCTAAGGTATATAAGGTCACCACGCCTATCATTCGTACGATGACACTCGAATCGACAGGGGAAGTCTTTGCGAGCCGCTCCGCGTTACTCTTCGAAACGCGATTGTTTTCTACGAGCAATTAGCGATCGTTCGCCCGCGCAGGCAATTAACTCTCACGATTAACGTCTCGCGAACAGCGCGTCGAAGTGATGGCTACTTATCGAAGTGTTATCTCACGCGATCTTTTCTTTTGAAGCAGGAATTAAAGATTCGAACGAAGTTTCCTTGTAATTATACGTACATGGAGAGCGCGATGTAATAAATTGATCGTTGGATTGAATAGTTCGATAATAACGGAAGATCGTGATATATTGAGCTTTTATTAATAACATTTCGTATTCCACAAACTCATTGAACACGCGAGAATAGCTAGTCTTACGAAGCTGCAATAAAAGAAAGAACGGCATGTCGTATCTTTGTTATTCTCATGTTACTCTTACGTTCATTGCCATGCAGTAAAATGCGCGTATGTAAAAGGGAATGTCGTTTAAAGTGTCGCTCAATTATCGTATTCCGGTAATTAAGTGCGCGCGTAATCGCAATTAACCACTTTCGCGAATGAATGTGAGTGACAACGAAGGGACCTAAGAGAAAGAAGAGAAGGCCTGGGGGGCATCTCTAAAACAGCAGCGAACAACTATGGATTGAGTAAAATTTTATACTTATTACTTTATTTAATTGTAAAAATGTCAGAGAGAGTAACAGATTATCTTTAATTCGAGGTAATGAATTTTTATGAAAATTATGTAAGGATGGTCTAGATGAATAACATTAATACATATATAATGAATATTTAATACTGGACAATTATCCGATTTATTACAAGAGTTTATAAAAGAATGTACGCAAAAGTCAGAAGAAGTTTTACGAAATCAAAAATATCATGTGTTATATAATAATATCATTTCGACATTTATATTATAAAATATAAATTATAATAACTTCTATTTAATTTTTCTTATGGTATTCTCATGAATTATGAAGATTGGAGTATATAAGACGTTTACAAGATACAAAATTTTATTCTGAGTGTCTCTGAATGATTTTCGAAATGCATGCGACGTTTATAAATATGAATTAGAGAATGCTATGAATTAAAGAATTGCAAATGCAATTCGAGGGATATTCGTGGAATGTTGAAACTGTGAAATTATGATAACTGTAGTGCATCTTTATTTCAAAAGAATTGAGTTATCTGCGGAATTTAGTTTTGTATCAGAATTCTTGACTTATTGTTTTACACGGAATGTAATATCACATTCAACACATATCTTTTAATAGATTGCTTTTTAGTACTTATAGTTATATTTTTTATTTCTTGAAAATCTTTCTGTTTGACTTTTGTAATATGTTCATTCTATAAATTGTGTAATATGCAAATCGAATAATAGCCCAGAATTAAACATCGTGTTTAAGATATGCTACATGAAATATTTTATGAAACTTTCTTGCGCAAACTCTTCAAAATTTTTCGTAAAATTTATACACTTTTACGATACGTTACGTATCATAAAATATAAAATTCGTTCCTTATCTATTCTGAAAAATTAAGTTTGTTTCAAAATCTTGATGTAAAATTTCAGCATGGACTGATTGAATAACAATAAATATTTCAGCGGAAACGATATAATTATACAGACTGCAATACAATTAAATAAAATTCTTTATTTTGAAATAAATTTTAGTAGATATACCCACGCGGGATTAAAACTCGTTTTAAGATTGAGCTAATCATATTTGCTTTCATTTATCGCGAGGAAACCGAAGAAATTATATAAAACTGGAGATCTTTACGTAATAACTCCATTGTAAAATTAATAGTGCATAAATTTTTTCATGTCGCAGTAGTAAAACCACGTGTACGGTCAGACGCGCGCTCTTTGCCCAGGAATAGTCACTGCTCAGCGTGTATTAACGAAAGGAGTTTTCAATGGTTAATTAATTTCGCATTCGTTTCGTGCACGCAATTTCATCGCCGTTGACATTCGCGCCACGAGTTCACCATGCGCTATAATTAGCAGCGTGTGATTACAAGCATGTCACACGTCTACGTTTATATTTTATCGTCAAAACTAATAATAAAGTCCATTTTTATCTGCGTCCGCATATACTGTTTTTTTTTTAAATAAAAATTTTAGTAAAGTAACGAATAATATTAATGCGATAGCGATCTATTGGAAAAATACTTTTATCATCTTATTAGCATTGTTCATTATCTTATATATCGTATCTATTAAATTATTGAGTGTTGTTTTTGAAAATTGTGTAACAGTTGCTAAATTTACAATCAAACAATCTTTCGCCCTCCATAATTATATTATTAAGTGCCTAATCGTCATTGTGTTTCTGACAATGAGAAATTTTTCAGACGGTACGGTCCTCTGAGTTTTATTAGAAAAATTATTTGTGATACACTCAATATGCATTTCTTATGTCTTACACGCGACAAATTTATAAGTCACGAGAGTAAAATTGAAAAAAACTGAAAAAGTGTGCGCTCTAATTAAAGTCGAATGACGATTAAGAATTGCATGAGCAGAACGGCGGTTATTTTAGTCGAGCGGAAGGACGACAAAACACGAGTAGGTGATTAGCAATATGATTGCAAAAGTTGATTCTAGCGCGAGAGACAGCCGCGCGCGCGGTGCAATCTTTCTTATTAGAATACCAAGGACAATGCGCCGTCACGATTGCACCGTCATTGTCGGGCTTGCCGTTCGACCTAAATTTACCACGACACGAAAAGTGCAGTCTCAAGAGATCGATACGTTTCTTATGCATTATCGGCAATTGTAACTCCGTTCAAGTTCCCAAAATCGCTCGCAATGCCAGGCGCGCTTGTAACAAGTTCTTCGAATAACGTAACAACCTCATTCAACGGTTCTGTCGAATTCGCGTTAGTACACTTGGGTCCGTGTTATTACAAGTTGAGAGGACACGTTTTCAGCAAATGAGAAGCAAATGGCTTTCTCTCGGCGAGAGAGAGAGAGAGAGAGAGAGGCCGGAATTACGTATTTTCGACGAAACTCTCGAAGTTCTGAGCCACGTTTAAACATAGGTGAATCAGGAAACTTTAGAGATAGTACGGTAAAGCGAAGCGAAATTGACGTTTTTTTTTTTAAATTTGAGGGAAAGCTCTTTATTCGATTCGAACTATTGTTTACCAATGCTGGATTGTAGGAAACCTGATTATGTTTGTCCAAGATTTTTCAGGATACCTTCCACTGTCTACCTATCTATCTATTTATTTATATACCTAGGGAACGAAGCGATAAGGCCAAAAACAGAATAAAATCGTGCGTTCTTACCCTGTTGTTGAACCCGCGACCTACACGCTCGTCGTTGACCCAGATCTGCCATTCGCCGGTGCGACCGTTCCAGCTCTGGCAGGAGTGGTACCACTTGTTAAGTCTCAGCGGATAATTCAATCTGTATAAGTTGTGACCGTTGACGTTGAGCATGTAATACGAACTCCTTGGTGTGTTCGCGACCCACGACAGTATCTCCCGCGCTTGGTCGCCGACTGAAAGGGTCGAGGGTGTAAATTAGTCTGTCCGTGACGGAACGGGAAAAAGGGACGGTTTTTCCGCGCGCAAGTAGAGTGGATGTAACATTCCCCATTAGGAACAGTAACTGTCGAGAATGCTAACGGTTGCACACGCGGACACATACGATGATTCTAACGGTTTCAAGCACATGGGGCACGTCCTGTGTTTTCGGACGCTTTCGTTGCAGAACCAGGCGGGTGAAGAAATATAAAGTACCTCGTATTTGTATTTTACACATTACGTTAAAATGATATTTAATTTACAATTAACATCAACATGTTAACTTTTACTGTTTTTAAATCTTTAATAACTGTTAACACCAATGATTTCTAACATGTAACATTTATATTTTATTATATTTATATCTTATATAAATAATAAAATAATGTCCAATATATAGATTTAAAGTTTATTCTGCCATGAATAATTTTAATTAAATGCACAGTTTTAAGAGGTTTATTAGAATTAATAATTAGAATTAATTAAATCGTTTATTGTACAAGATTTCTCTGATGTTGATATAAACTTAATTTTTATCGCTGTACTCTATATAAGAAATTATCTGTGTATTAAATATTAAAAAAGGTACTTCCTATTTCTCACCATAATATGGTACATTTCCAGTATACCTATATTGATTCTGGAAGCCGAGAAGCGTTTTTAGACACATGCACGAAGGCAGGGACTTATTGTTGGTGTATTTATGACACCGCGCATATCCGCTTATTGTCACGCACGCCTGCGCCTAGGAAAAAAAAAGAAAGAACACCGTGTGTGTATGTGTGCAACTTTCTACCGGCACAAAAAAAACCACAAACCGTATGGAACCTTTCTAAACTGCACATTGAAAACGTAGCCGGGACAAAGTCATTGTTTGCGCACGAATAATAATGCATGCGGGCGTAAATCGATTCCTATCCCAACGACGCGATGGGAGGGACGGTATGATTGTGACTTAAGCTAATCACTAATCACGCGGAAAGAGAGAGCAGTGCGTGGGAATCGATTATGCAACTGAGCACGACCGTTATATCGCGTGTAATGCTTGGAAAATTTATTATATTTTTAATTAAATTTATCTCGATATTTACAACGATATTATTTACAGCATATAAATTGCATGGTTCAAATTTGCCAGGAGCAGATTTTAATAAAATTTTATTTCTCATTTATTACGTGTGAAAACAATCGCAGTATCGTATTAAAGAACATTATTATGTTTATAATGGATCTCTATAAGTGTACGAACGAGTTTATTAAATTTTAAATATTGCGAAAGTGGATTCATAATTATCGATCTTGCACGTTAAACTCTGCGCTTTTTCAAATTTTGTTATAAAATACTTTGAAATATGATTTTAAACAGAAAAGAAAAACACATCAGCGACTGAAAAGTATTATTCATACTAATTTTGGACAATGTTGTTGGCAGAACCGTTGAAAACAATTTTCGTTTGTTCTTCACGTATAAATATCATGAACATTGTATATGTTCATTTTTGTAAGTGTTCACAATTCAATGCACCGGTCCGTTCATTTACAAGTTTATTGTTTGCTTATTCGCAGTTTCTGCTGTGTTAGTAAACAATATATCAATTATGAGGAACTAGGTCGACGGCAAATTAGCGCACGTTGTAAAAATTCGTTAATAAAACACACAACTCGCGCCGCAATTTAAGGAGCGCAAATTTTTGCTGGCAAGTTACGGCAGTAACAAGTTTCCAATGTAAAAAAAAAAAATCGGTTATTTTTCCTTAGCGTATGTTGCTCTGATAACAGATAAACGCAACAGATAATTGTAAATTTTTTACTCTTTTTTTCTTAGTTTAAAATGTGCAAAGAATTTTCTTTCGTATTTGATTAATGACAAGTTTATATATCAAAATATAGTTTTGCAATGAGTTCTAGCGAGCAATTTAGATCAACTTTACTTTAACGAGTAAAGACTAAAAGCTCCAAGTTTAATTAAATTGTATTACCAATATGTATAATATTCAAATTTTGCAATGAGCACAGCGACCTACTTCTAATTTTTTTTATAAAGAAACATTGTCTTTAAATCAATCGTACATTTTTGCATATTGCTGACACGAAAAATTAATATCGTTATCGCAATTCATGAGGTTTGTAACACCGTTACACGATAACGCGATACTTTTGGTGACACACGCACCGAACTTTCGCTTTCACGTTCGGTAAATGTCGTGGTGATAAGAGGTGAAAGGAGAAAGAAACGCACGCGTATTTCGCGCACTTACCTGCGTAAGAAAACAGTGGATGGTCGTTAGAGTGATTGTGGAATTTCGTCCACATACAGAGGGTGAACTCCTTCATGTCCGGCAGGTCTACCTTGTAATGGATGTACTGCAAGACAAAAAGAGAAAGATATATGTGTTTATTGTATACTTCGTTAGATCGCATCGACGACGAGCAACGCTCGGTTGACGTTGAAGTGTGCCTATCGCGATCGGAATTGTCAATGCACTCGGCGCGCGCGCGGCGAAGATTAATGCGCCCCGTGCGATTTAATCGCTGGAATGTGTACTCTACCGCGTGGTGTGCATCACTCGCATTATACCGGCCTTACATTATTAATCGCCCGTCATCGATCCCCGCGGCTCTCGTTTAAATGAACGTTAGATAAACGCGCGAACGAGCACGTTCCCGTTGCGGGTGCAATCGAGCGGACGTAATCGAACAATCGTGGCATACGAGAGAGCGACTGTTGTTCGATTCGACGTGGATGATTAGAGTTTGATGAGAATTTGTGAGTTGCATCTTCACGAGTACCGGGCGTGCGCCGAATTGTTGCAAAATAGAAGCACCGTGTTCGCGCGGTGGAAAAAATATAAACTATCGCGTGAGAACGGAAAAGGTGGCTTTTCATTACGATATAAATGCGATTACATATATTTTCCGTTAATTTGATGCACCCTGATGCACGCGAGACTACAATGGTCATCGGCATCGCGCGCGCGTCTAAATTGGTCGATTACATTGGTTGTTGACGTGGTACACGTCGATCGATTGAAATTTATGTATGAACAGCGCTCCGCTCTGGGATATACATCGAATATATATTGATGAACGGCGCATACACTTCGTGCCTTAGACAGGGAAATTGCTTCGCGCGGAATCACAGTACAATAATTGACAAGCAAATACCGCGTTTTACTCTATACCTATTCCCACGATACGATCGTAGCAAACACGAGTGACGATTGACGAAGACGCTACTAATAAAAATACACCGTTTTACTTTTTTTAAGAATGTAATAAAAGTTGCAACATTGTGTATTAAATAAGACAGAAATTGAAAATATACAGCTACACAAAATTGCAAGTTGTTTAAAAAGATATTATATTATATTTCGAGCTTTTGTGCTTGCGCGTTTATTTGCATTCTTATCTTATCATTATCTTTTTTTCGTTCTTGAAAAATTATAATTTTTATTCGTTCTTTTCCCAGTAGCGACACAACTTCTAAAAGTTTCGCGACGAAATTATCGCGATTTATGCGGGATATCCGCGTTTCGTTTCCAAAGAGCCAAACTGCGCGCATTTTTCTTGCCCCATACTTTTAATCCGATCTTTTCCCAAGTGCCGTTATTATTATTCACATCCTTTTCAAGGCGAAATGGGCACACACCCACAGGAATGCGCGCTTTTTCGTCGGCGATTGCATGAATTCGCGGTTAATCGATTACGCGTTGTCGGTGCGAGAGGGAGAGAGAGAGAGAGGCGTAGAGCCGCTTCTTGCGCCCGTAGTTTCTCTCTGACGAGGGGAACTGGAAGCCTCCCTACCCCCCATGCCCTCCTCCCTCATATGGAGAACGGATTTAGCCAAAAGCGGCCGCAAAATCACGACGGTGACGACCGCGATCGAGATTGCACCGGCACACGTCCAGTTCCTTTTACGGTTGTCAGCTCGCATAAACTTCTCCCCGCACGTTATAGCAGGCGCTATATAGAAATACACGCGTCACCGCGCATTACATTCGCCGGCACCTGACAGGCAATGTTTCAGCCGGCCTCTAAGAGGCGACCGTAAATTTGATGGGCGGGATGAAATATTCAATCGTGTACTCGGCGATACTGCTCGCTCAATTTCCCTACTGTTTGCGTTAGGGTGATTTGCATCTGCAATTCCCGTGACTTATCGACACGTCGAATTATAGCGTCACGCGTTCGGTCTTGCGCGCGTTTCTCCTTCGACAACTGAAGTTATTAATATCCGAGAGAAAATATCATGTGACATTTATGATCGAGCACCGTCGCTACGCTACAGACATACGTACGTTGCAATTAACTAGCGGCGACGTTTAAGTACATTGAATCATTCGGACAAACGTTCCTCGTTAAGCACACAGAAGCTTGCTCAAATAAGAATATCAAAAACAACCTTAAATAAACCTCACATTTATTATCTCACGGCACTTCCTACGAAATCGCTTCCGCTTGTTATAAGATCGATTTGTTTCGCCTCCATATTTAGTTCCATTGCCGTTTTTAGCGAAACGTATCGACGTTTCGCCTAATGTCGTTCTCGAATTTCCCGGTGTGATAAATTCGCAAATCGCGTTTCCACGAATTCGCAGCCGCGTTTAATATCTCGCCTGGCATTATCGACCGTCAGCGAGAGAGGCGTCAGCGTGGCCGTTAATTGTGACGGGGAACGAAGCTAATGAGCGATCCGGGCGATAGGCATCCTGTCTCGAGGAAAACGATCGCGTATTAACGATCGTAGAAAGTCAGGTAGGCAGGTAGACTGCAGGTCTTTGTTCCGTTTGTCTTTGGACATCCATTTACGATTCGCGATTTCGCGACGGTCTCCTTTCCCCTTGCACCTGCGAGACTGCAACCGCAATTACGCCCGGCTGTCGTCGAGTCTGGACGGACGCTCTCCGACGTCGGATATCACCTTGACTCGAAGTGGTCTAACGAATACAATATAAATACACTCAGAGCTCGCACTTTCCACCGCCAGTTTTTATCACGTCGATCACATCTACGGATTATTATTCTTATTTGGATCTAGAATAATAATCTTGTGCGCGGAGATTATTATCCTCCGCAAGATTATCCGTAATTATATAGAAGTTCTGATCTCGTTTCATATCTTTGGCATTTTTCTCACTTTTTCAAAGCATGGTTTTGAACATTTTTATGACGTATTATATTATACTGTAATATTGCGTTAATGCCCATTTGAGATTTTATTTATAATAATAATTTTAAATCGTGTTATAAAAGATTTGCACACACACAAACGTTTTCAAATATTAATATATGAAGATAAAGTTAATGACTCTAGTGCCTTTAAAAGGAATTTGTGTGGTATTCATTGTTTTTAGTTATTTTAATCAGTATTCGGATAAATATAAAGTTGCATATTTTAATTTGAATAATTGTATGTTTTTATTTAAACTGTCACAAGAACGTTCACTTGGTTAGGAACAGAAACGCTTGTAACAATATTGGTGAAGGCCGTTGATTATTAACATTCTAAATGAACCGGAGTAGTTTAACTTCCTTTCTCCTTAAATCAATAGCCTAGCCTGTCATCCGTGAGAAATATCTAAGCCGTCAACGTGGAATATCTTCATATATTTCACCGCGATAACTCGATCGCCAAAATTGCTTTTATAAAACGTGTTATATAAATTGCAATCTGGATATCTTAGTACCGATCGCAACGTTTCTTATAAACGATATACATATATAATTTTACGTCGTTGAGCAATTTATCTCTCATCCGCTTCCTCACAATCAGTGAGCCTAAATTTTTCCGGTTTGACTTTCCTGGTTATTATACAAATTTACCCAGGAATATTGCCGCTGGCGCATCAGACGAGCAAGTAATTCACCTTTGATGGAACGTTCACTTTCTCGTCTCGCGAACTACAACGAAAAACGAAAATGTAGAAGTGCTCATGTGTATTTTGTCTTTAACGAACCATACAGAAAACATCGCGACATCTGAGCGTTGTATAGCTAGGGAGCCGATTGAAAAGCGGTCGCAACGGGATTTCGCCGTTTCGAGGGATCACGGCGATTGGTAATAACTCAGAACTCATTTCGTCTCGTAGCGCCCCGAGGGGATCGTCCGAGAAAATGTTTTCTCTTACTTTCGTTGGCCGCAGAACGCGTGTCATTTCGCTCGCCGTGAATCCTCCCTGGTCGGTGCAATGCCAAGTTACACTCTCTCGAGCGTGAAGTGCGCTTCACGTAGCACGTGAACGACGGAATTCCGCGTTAGTCACACACGAGGCGCACCTGTTACAGCTGTGTAGACTAGGTATTGTTAGCCCGTCCAATATGTCAGATAAAGAACAAGAAGAAAGAAGAAGAAGAGAAAGAAGAAAAAGAGAAAGAAGAAGAGACGAAAAAGAGGAAGAAGAAGAAGAAGAAGCGCGTGAAATGGAAGAGTATCGTTTGCCGACGTGAAAATTATCTTACAATTTATTTAACATAGACACGCACCCATGCACTCGTAGAAAATTTTCTAAATGAGAAAAATCTTGAATTCGAAAGATCCAAAGATGAAACATGTAACTTTCAGTGCGCTGTGTACGTATTACGCATAATTTTAACATATTAAATTAAAGGCTTATGACCATCTTTATCAATAATCGCAGATTAAAGCAATTATTTTATCAACAAATTATAATGACGAAATCGCATTATAACAAATTATGCATCAGATGATGCCGGAATTATATTGTAATCAGCAGATCCAATTTCTCGAATTACATTATTCACTCACTATGTGGAGCATGAACTAATTTATATTAGGCAATGGCGATTGCAATTCATCTTCAGATGTGTATTACATATGTCTGTAGATATACAACAATATCAATAACGTGAAACTAGAACAAACACCATCCTATCCATGGCTTGGAAAACAAACATTCTGCATGCATAGTGCTATATTGACCATCTGGCCGCTATGATCATTCTCGCTTTGCACGTATTTGTGAGTGATGCATACACGATTCGAAATGCCCTACATTTCATAGGTTTTTTTTCCATGTCCATCAAACACCGGTTTTGTTCCAGACTGGCAAATTACCAATCTAAACCGTAACGAATATGTCCGGATAGAATGTCAATTAATAATACTCGTTTAATCAAGCTTTGTGTTCATTTTAAAGCTCTGATCGCTAGGATCATAGAAATTTACCGTTCAAATTTTTGATCGCGTCGCGATTCGCTTTTTGTTCTATCACGTCTATAAAACGCATAAGTTCGGAAATATTTATGACATCCGGTTTGCGATATAAAAATTCGTCGCCCGTGTGTTCAATGACCTACCTCGAAGTACAGCTGCTGGGTCATGGCGACTTTATAGAGGGCACATGTCCCTTGGTCATGCGACAGCAGATGATGAGGACTGTCCACGTCGTAGAGCGTCTGCGTAGGCGCGTTTCCGAAAATCGATGCCTCCTGATGCAGTATACCTGCGCCGTCGGCGTGGCCCGGCACGATCGGTCGCCAGGACGACGAAATCGCCTGCACCTCGCTGCTGCACAAGGATGCAGCGAGAATAGCGCACGCAAGCGGGATCGGCGTCATCTTCGGGCGGCTCGTTCCTCTCGAGCTACCTGCAAGTTGAAAGAACGAACTGGTTTTTTTTCTCGGTTTTAGAACTCGAGAACTATTTCGCGACCGAAAAGAATTCGAAAAAGCTGTATTAAATTCTGTGTTAAATTCTTCGCCGTTCCGATGAGACATGTATTTTCACTTTTTGTTCCGTTTATTTGAAAGTAACGATAATGCAATGTCATTACGTTCACGTATGTCACGTATAGGTGACTCACATATTATATAAATACCTCGATTGCTTTTTCTGCGAATATCCTTGTGCATAATAAAGCAGCGCATAGCGCTTTCAAGTTAGGAAAAACAGAAAAGAGAAATGGCTCCATCTCTCTGCTTTTTTTTTAGATAAAAATCTATATTATTGATTAATCATTGCGCGATAAATCGTAGGCGAACTAGTGCAAATACCTACTAACCGGCGTGCGGTATCGGCGTATTATGCAATCGGCGAGCTTCTCCACTCGGTTAATTATTATAATCGGAAGGTCTACGACTCGTTATATGTACCCGGGTGTGGGAAACAACTCCAGAAAAGTTACGTTGAATCGAGTTCCGATGGAACGAAGCGAAGCCCACCCGCGATCACCCGCCACCGCCAATGCGTGTAATATAATGCAGAATAGAACGGCGCTTGCACACGCAACGGCATCATTTCGTTGCGAAATTTAATTCAGGCGAGCGTGACGAACGTTGTACCGCTTAAGAATGCAATCGACGATAATCCTTTTTTCACACGATAACATTTTTATCTCATGCGAGCGTCTTTGGTATCGTGGTATGTCGAGCAGCCTCGCGACGAGATTAGACCCAGATAAGATGCAAGTATATTGCGTCTAAATACCTTCTGCACTCCTTTTTCCTCGCGCATATGTACTTGGATAATTAATTGGCGCCTTCTGCTATACTGTACCAGTTCTCGGACGCCTGTTGATGGATTCGTGTCCTTAGATTTGCGCGACATAAGCTGCATTTCTCATACGCGTTCCCCTTATGCAATATACGCTTGTAAGTCAATTACGCGCGTACGGGAGAGTTGTGCGAAGAAATGGCGCGAACGGATTTGATGATTGATATAAATCGCCATTATCAAGACCATTATTTCTCGCCGATGCACCGTGACGATGCATCGACGTGTTCCTAATAATAATGCGCTCTTAATGATTTCCTAATTGCTCCGTAGTGCACCTTGATCTTAAAACTGCTTGATCTTAAAACACGACAGGAAAATCGAATGAGAAAACAGTTTTTACATAAAAATAAATTAATGCGTAAGTACGTGTATGCTAATGTCTTGCTGTGGTGCAAGCAATAATATTAATGCAACACCAAATGCAACCGTAGGAATTTTCCATTTTGCCTTGATTGTAAGCGGAACTCGTATACAACTGGACGTTAATCCGTGAAACGGTAGTGTTAACGGAACCAAGAAACACGGTAGCGCAAAATGTAATCGACGAGGGAACCGGCTTCCGATATTGAAAGGATTTGCATATTCCGCCACGAACATTTATTCTTACAGACTCGAAACAATAATTGAGACCTGCCACGCTTGAATAACTGTGCTTGTGATTAATTGCTTTAGATTCTTTAGAAACTCGCAAGTTAGATGAAATTGAAAGTTGAAATCGTACTAGGTAGGATGGTCAAGTGCTATTACGAAGGTGATCATCAAACTGCAGATGTTATAATAAATTTTTTATAATTATTATTAGTTTATTTCACGTGTGATAGGAATATTAATAACATGCATGATAAAATGGTAATTATTTGATAGCATAATTGTACTCGTCATTATTCGAAATTGTTTTGATATAATTTTTAATGATTTTATTGAAAATTTTACATAATTGCTAGTGGTAATCGCCAATTAATTAAAAATATTTTGATACTATCACTATTATTTATTGATACTCGTAACATAAATGACGCTGTTCCATTATTTTTATTAATACACGTTTTGGATACTTATCAATGTATTACTATATTTTATGCATGGCACAACTAAATTGTAAAAGTCTTCTTTCATAAATCTCCTTTCTCCGATCTCCCTTTGTGTTATTGCTTTTGCTACTTGTGTCAGTGGTGTCATTCTCATCTCACAGTCATTAATGCAACCGTTCACTTTGTCTTAAGAGTATCTCGCGTAGAATGCAGATCGCCAAGTTACTTTGTGACACTATCGTGATCAAACAAATTGCGATCCACAATGAAAGCTATCAAAGCGAAAATTAAAATGCAATGCCCTGAATAGCTTACGACATTAAAATGACTGTACTTTGCATGAATCACGCCAATCTCCTATCGAATTGACGTCCAGTGTATTAAAATCTCTTCTTTATTAAAAAAAAAAAAACGAAATTCTTGCATAAAACATAAGTAATAAGTAACGAAAGAAATGGTAATTTATACACAAACATTACACATATAAATAACGATAAATAAGTGCGTAAGGGGAATTAAGGATTTATATTAAAACTTCAAAAGGCATTAGGATTTATGAAGAATTATGTCGTTATTAAATCGTTAATAGTATCAGATTTTTATTCGGAGTATTACTCTCTTTCTACTGAAACGAAAAATGTCAAACTATCACGTAACAAATTAAGCAACACTTAAAATTTATAGGACTTACTTATAATTTTATAAGTAATTAATGAATTTTTCAGTGCGTTATTTATTATTATTTTCGTCTTCTGTGAGTAGCACTTCCGTAAAAAATTCACAAACCCGCACGGATATGGCAAATGGCATTTTTCGAGCATTTAGAAATTTAAACTACTACGAAAATTAAACACACCAAATTCGTCGATGTTCCTTTTGAGACGTGCGAAATTTCGATTATCGTAAGGCGATCGGCACGAAACTTACCCAGAGATAATAATCACAGTCGAACTCGGGCACTATGGAAAGAGGTAGATCCTCGCGGTCTCAGAACGGAAAGGTAACTGTCCGCTCGTTGAGCTTGCCACGGATCTGGTAAGCTGACAGTAGGTGTATGCACCTCTCCTACCTGGGTGTTTGATACACCTTTTGCCTCGTGAGCCTTTTGCCTCGCTCTTTTCCATACGTATCGCCGTACATTGTCGTCGTAAAAGCGACTCTCACGTGCGCGAGAGGTCGCCGGTCAATTACGATTTTACTGGATCGTTTATTCGGCCATACGCACGTGTAACATGCAGGTACCTTAACAAAAGCACGGAAAATGCATTTCGTACTGCGAAATACTATTGAGGAAAAGCGTGCAGCTGTTTAGCTTCAAATCTAACATTAAGGCCATGATACTCTTTAAGTGACGCGACTTTTTTATTTTCCGTTTTTTATTTCCCGCAATTACCAGACGAAATTGTTATATTACATATATATATATAATTTGCAAAATAAAAAAGTAATTATAATTATATTTCCATAAAGTTTTGATAAAGATATAGGCATGCAGAATATTCTCCATCGTGTAACAGAAACAACTTAATGATTTAACGGCTACCAGAGGAATTAATTTAACACCTTGTTAAAACAAACTATCTTTAAATCTTCTAAATTTTTTATGTAAAGTTCTTATAATTCTCTATTTTATCATGTTTTACAACGTGGTTATACTAATAGGTTAGATCTAGATAAACAAGTAGAAAGTAGAAGGCGAGGGAGATCGACAAGCTTCTTGCACATGATCCAAAAATGCCTGGGAAGAGGTCAGCGGGTAAACTCGTTCGAGCGTTCGATCTAGAACGGCGAACGGCACCTTGTGATCGACGCGGATGATTGTCGCTCGCCTCGTCCTTGGAGAAGAATGTCGAGGATTCTGCAATTTGTGACAGTAATTTCTAACGATATGATTCGGCGATGTAAAATATTCAGGCTCGAAATACTCTCTTCAATCATCTTTCTATCCGTTTCTGAAGATTATATCTGTATCTTCTGCCGTGTGGGAGATATTTGAGATTGCGTGCGGATAAGTGCAACAATTATTGAGTAAAAGCGAGCAGCCGCTTAACTTCAAATCTAACATTAAGACCATGATACTCTCTTTATGTGGCGCGACGTTTCTTATTTCCCACAATTACCAAACGACGTGTGATTTCATGCTTATTAAATTTCAATTAATTACATTATTGTCCATTTAAATTAACGTCCAATGTCTCGTTCTGCCTCATAAACGTGCAGACGCCCAAAGATAGGTATTGGCTCATTCAGCCTTCAGGCTAAATGCCGAAGTTGCACTGATGCAACGAGTATTTATGCAAGTATAACACAAATATTACGATGCAGCGTAATAGTTTACTATTAGTTACAGTTTTTATTTCACAGTTACACTACGATCGAAATCGTTATAGCACTAATCATTTTAACAGAATTGTTCGTTCCCAATATTTCGTTTTTTTTTTATTAAAGTTACATGCATACGTGAAATTCGATTGATAATACATGCATACATCGAGTTTATCATTGCTTAATATTTCTTATTTATTTTATGATATTTTGAATTCGTTATTCAAGCTATTGTGACAAAAGATGCATTGTGCAATTATCGTAAAGTATGTTTGTATGCTTGTATATATATAGACCCAAAGTAATGCTAAGGAAAAGATACGAAAAGGATATGCACGGCATTCAGAATTTTCCGCTGTACAGATGTAAAAAATATTCTGCCAACCGGAAAGAACGTTAAATAAGACGCGCGTTTGTGATTTAACAGCAATTGGTGGAATCTCAAGTTACATATCTCTCGTTTCACTTAGAACGCTTTCACATCTTTAACCCGCGACCAAATCATATCTTGCTTTTCACGTATTCATTTCTCAAAGCTGTCTAAAAGTCTTATAAATAATTACGGAAATTATTATCATTTATATCGTTAACGTTTAAAATTAGCTAAACGTATTAAAATTCACGCGCAGATAAATTTACGTTACATTACGTTACGTTTACGAAACTTCTCTTCCGCAAAAGATATATCTATGTTTCGCAAACGCTGTTTTGAATATAAAGCATCTTGGAAGAATAATCTTTGTATTATATCTAAAAGTCTACGTAAAACACGTCTTTACAAATATTTTAGAAAGAGATTGTATAGATATTTCAAAAATGGCATAATTAGGTGATTTAAGAATTTATCTTTCTCTTCTGTTATTTCATTCCGTCCTTTGTAATATAATCGTTACACAAAACTGTTATATATAAATCCTTGCTTAATCTTGAGTATTCAAACTGACTTTACGAAACTTCTTTTCCGCAAAAGATATACGTTTCGCAAACGCTGTTTTGAATATAAAGCATCTTGGAAGAATAGTCTTCGTTTTCTAAAAGAAATCTTTAAAAATATTTTGGAAAGAGGTCGTATAAATATTTCAAAAATGACAAATAGATAATTTAAGAATTCACCCTTTTCTTCCGTTATTTCATTTCAAGAAGAATATAAGGATGTGCGTATGTAAAAAGAAATTCTATAAACATCAGGGAGAAAACATTACGTATGAGTCATGAAGTATTCAATTGCCCAATTGCATTAGCGAAATGCAGATTATAGTTTTTATTACATATATGCCATTACTTAAACGTGCTGAAGAACATTTAATTTAATGTCCGGCTGTAAGTAGCCATAAATGCGACAGCGTCATAAGAAATAATGGCACGCTTATATTCGCTTCAATGTATCGAGTAAGTACCTTTAAAATTGTCACGAATTTTACCGTACATATATATCTTCCATAAGTCTATAATTATTATTTCTATATTTGAGAAACAAAAAGATATAAGGCCAAAGAAATCTGTTATTTCGGGGAAAGCTTACAAAGGATTGGAATGACGTCGATGTGTGTTTTCGTGATAAATGAAACAAATATGCAAAATCGACAGTTTCTCAGATTTACCATTATGCGTTTTTCATGTACAAATTCGGAAAATGTTAGAAAAACTAGGTAGCTATTTGGGAGTTTGAGGCAAATTGAGATGTTACGTAGCTATCTCTAAATATGTGGTCGAAGCTCGCATACGTTATAAAATGTAGAAACGACATGTATGCCGCAGTCAGCTGCTTTTTCGGTTACGTATACATTCGTAATCTTAGCGAGACGGACACGTTTCTCTCCGCTTTTACTTTCTCTGGTATTTTGTATGGTGTGTAGCGCGCGATCGTTAAATCTGATCGGGATGAGATCGAGCTCCGCAATAGCGGGCGCGTGCGGCCGCGCATTTCAATCGGAGAGATAATAACGCGCTGATAGCAGCGCTGACAATGGGTAGTTTATTGAATTTCGACGAGAAGTGACATCGATCGATACGCATATTATGCATCTTTTCCATCCAGGGGTCTATCGGGTTATTTCCATATTCGCGATCGATCGGCGGAAGCCATTACGGGCACCGTCTCGCCGTTCGCGATTCTGCGGCGCGTCTGAAACGTTCCCGTGAAATTAAGAGGCGCCTGTCGCCGCGGAGGCGACTAACCGGAATGATCTGTGTAATCGGAGATGACAGCGGTTACATATCGGCCGACGATTTACATATATTACGTTGATAAACGTAATGTACCAGATAATTCTCCGCCTTTCTCGGCTAATCGAAAGTCAATTCTTCGTTGGTAAATATTGATGATAAAATTTTAATTTCCGATCTTAACTTTAGGCGGGCTTTTGCACGAACGTGATAAAAGTGCAACACGACCACCTCCGAGGTTTCTTTTTTTAAACACATCGCCTTATTAAATTCAAAATATTCAAAATGAAAGAGAGATAGTTGCTTTATTATTTATTATTATTAATAACATTTGAAATTGCTCCATAATTAATTAGAACACGTTAACTTTGTGATTACCGTTTCCATCGGATTTACAAAACGTTAGATCTTAAATCCGTCTTAGAATTCATGACTAAAAGAACAGGCAGATCTGGAACAACTGCGAACGCGATCAAGTGTCGGGAATCCAGACCACTTGACAAAGGTAGACAGAGTTCTCGGAGGTGGCGAACGTGTCGTCACCGCATGTCGTGTCGCGCGGCGACCGCAATCCTTCTTTTTTTTCCCTCTCGGTGCTCTCCTCCGCTATAGAAAGTGAGTACGGGCGTGAGGTGTACAATGCGAGGGAAAACGGCAGCTCGTTAAAACGACGTATACGTATTGCGAAATGTACACCTCGGATGTGGACCTGTGAGCTCGGGGATGTGGCCCGCGGCTACTAAAAATCGAATCCGGTCGAGGACGAAAATGTTTTATCCTTTCTAGAGTGTAATCGGAGTGGAATAGCTACCGGAACTGTCGCGCGTCGCATGCCGGCGAAATCAATTATCGAAACCAGAACCTGGAAGCTGCGACGAAAGTCCTCGAACGAAACACTCCTTTCTCCTTTCACGAACGTTCGTGTTATGCGTGTTTTGACATAATAAACATAGAAAGAAGACCGATATCTTTATTACGACACGGAAGGGACAACCGGCTGATAGCTCGAAGTGATGAGTGTTGCATAATTCCGAATTTTATAATCAAAACCTATAATAATGTGTTCGTTGCTGACGATGAGTCGGCAGTGCTTGATTACGAATTGTACGGTAGCCGAATTAACCATACTGTTACGGTAACAAACGAAAACGAAGGTTGAAAATAATGTATATAAATAATTATTCTGAATATTGAAAAAGTACACTCTTAATTAAATAGTTTCAAAAATTATATAACAATGGCAAGAGAAAGAAATGTGAAAAAACTAACGTAGTCGTGATAATAATTAGCTTGAAATCTTAAACGAGCGATCTTAATGGAGGTATTACGGAAGAGGGAAGTTGTAATCGTGTTTTTATATCTCTCCTTTCGTCGCATTCTTCTTTTCGCGTCCACGAAAGTTCGTTTAACCGGCATGAACTCGAGACGCCCGGCCGTTTATAATTGACGCGCGAGTCATATATCCCACGTTATGACATCCTGCTGGGCTACGTGTGTCGT